GGAGTGGGGAATGTAATTGGGTTTCCTGCCTCCAAAAGGACTGCTCAAAAGCCATCCTTTTTTATTTTTTTTGCAAAGTTTGATTCATGAACAGGCTTGGAGGAAGGATTGACATTAAATATTGGCAAAAAGGGTGAAATGATCAGGAAAAAATCATACGGGTTTTTGGATGATTTTTTTTTTTTTTTTAATTCTGTGCAATACGACTGCCCATCCCAGCTGCCCGGCCCTTCCCTGCTGGGCAAGAGGCTTATTGCTTTTCCTCACTTCATTTTGAAGCATCCCCAGACCGCAGGGAACCCCTGGGAGAGCAGAACCTGGCCCGGGACAGTGCTCGAAGGATGCTGTTTCCAAACTCACAGCACAGGATAAAGACTGAGGACAGGGAGGGCATTTTCAGACCTGCAACCTCAAACCTCAACTCCACAGATGCTTTTGAGGTCCCTCAGTCAAGGGCATGAGGAGGAAACCCCTCTGGCAGACACCCATTTACACTAACTCACTGCCATGTTTTCAGGGATCCCAGCAGATCACTGCCATGGTTTTGACCTTCTCATGCAATGCCTCTGTGATATGATCCATGGTAGTTGGCTGTGACCTTCCATAGCCTCAGGGCACTTCTAGCTGTTGGTCTGCCATCCTCCCAAAACTGAAGACTTGAGAAGACACCACAACGGGAATTGAGGGTCTCGTTGGCCTGTGATGCTTAGTGACAACTAACATCCTAAGGAGTCTTTAAAGCACGATATAAACCCAGTGGAGATGATGATGTCTCTCATTGGAATTGTTAAAAACCATTTAAGATAAATCTGCCAGCAAGTATGAACAGACCATTGGTCCTGCTGTGGGACGTATTAATGGACTAGGTAACCTCTGGAGGTCTCCTCCATCTCTGGTAGTCTATGAGTAGGATTCTCCACACCTCCACATCTGACCACCTAGAAAAAGTCTATCATCTCTGCTGTCTGTCAGTCAAAGAAGGAAACGTCGAAGTGGCATTTCAACACTACCACTAGTGAGTTATAAGAGACACAGGAGTGGAGCCGTGAGAGACTGCAGGAGCAGGTACTCCTGGAAAGCAGCTGCCACTTTGAAGCCCATCCTGGGCAGAGGCTTAGCTTGTGCAAGATTAAAGGCTGGTGGAGACCTGGCTTGCTGGGGCCAGATGTGTAGAAGAACAGAGCATGACTACAGAACTTGCAAGCGGCAGAAGGCGGCAATTCACAGCATGACCTCATGACGTTGAGGTAGTTCCTTGCCTTTGAAGGGCTGAGCGTCAGGGTTTAATCCCTTTCTCACCTGTGGCTCAGAGGACACAAGTTTTGCAGAGTAGTTGTGTCACTTGGAGCACAGATGGCTCCACGGTCTCTCAGAGGTCACCGATGTCCTGCATAACGGGGAGATGTTCACAGCATCTCAGTGCACAGCTACTGCACTTTGAATGGAGGTGAGGGACTTTCCTGCCTATAGCACTACCTCCCTGCCTGCTTTTCTGATCTGGGTGAGCCTCTTGGCAGTGAAGATTTCACATGCGAGTTTTGGTTTGGAGTGTGACCTGGCCCCCTGAACACAAGACTCGGGTCTTGGCATGGTCCTCTGCGCAGCCCTGGATTAGGACAACCAGATGCTACAGTCCCAAGGATCTCGATGAGCAGAACTTTGGATAGGATGCAGCCAGGAGGATTTCTGAGCATATCTTACACATCCACAGGTGTACATTTGAAAAACAGAGTGGTTTCATATTGGACCAAAACCCAAGAAAGTTGCTGCAGTTTCTCTGCAAATTTAAGCAAAAAAAGCAAGGGAAGGTGTTCTGCAGGGAATGTGAATGCAAAGCACTGGAGTTTGCTGTGTCAGCTGCTGCCAAGCATTTCTACACATCCAAATGCTAAAGAACTAACAATGTTCCTCGAAGGAGCACAAACCAAGGAATAAACAGGCTGCTACAAAGCACAGGCCTAAATACTGAGGGAGAATCTGGAGGTATTCCTGTGCCTCCTGTGGCAGTCAACCTGGCTAAGCTTTTATCCTGGGAAACCTTCTCCCCCTTCCCTACCGTCTTCTTTCTTGGCTTGATCTAACAAGGTGTTCAGCCCCCCCAAGAAGGCGCTGGGAGTCCTCAGCTCACCTCCTCAAGGGAAGACCCCTGAATGCCCTGGTAGCCCAAGGTCATACATCTGCCTGCCTGTGCCCCAAGAGAACAGACATTTGTCCTCACCCTCCAGCTGGGCTCTGGCCGCAGCTCAGTTGAGTGGGTCACTTCACGAGCTTTTGCTTAAGCCACCCCTCAGCTTAGTAATTAGACCTTGGCAGGAGGCAACGTCTTTCACATCCTAACCCAGACACAAGCAATTGCTCTTCAAGGAGGGGAACCTTAGCAATCCACTCCCTACCTATGACATAATTCATGACTTGGCCTTTCTAAAAATTGGCTGGATATTTATGGTCCCAGGGTGGTATCTAGCAAACCTTTTCAATCCTATCTCTTCTTTGCATAACTAGTGAACCCCCCTGACTGAAGACCCTCTCCTTCTCTGTGAGACCAGCAGATGCACAGGTAGCACGTGGGAATAGGTTGCATTGGGCTGGCATCGAGTCCTGCCTGTGGGCTCACATGTTCATCCCACATGGAAAAAGGTTAGCTTGGAGTGGTACAACATTGGCCTCTGGTTGTTTGGACGCAACAAAAAAAAAATACCCACTCCAAACACTTTACAGGGCCAGTGAATAGAGATTGTAGGGTTGGGACACGAAGCCAGCTGTAAACAAAACGCAACACACATGTTTCTTCCCAAACACCATCAATGCATGACATATGTTTCTCTAAAAAGGAGGGCCCAAGGGGTAGGTGACAGCTTGGAGATGCATGCTGGTTGCACACTGGCCAGAGTTTCAAATGGGTGGATAATCCCTGCGAGCCAGTTCGTAGCGTGGTTACTTGGTCCACCTTAGAGGTGCTTCAGGATCCTCTCCAGTGAACAAAACTGACCACCTTCTCACCGGTGCTCTGGTTTCTTCAGTCTGAACCAGGTGGGCTGCCCTTTGGGTCCTGAGCAACCCTGGAGACAGCCTGAACTCCACATCGTTTGACATGTCTAGTCAAGAGCCCTCCCCTCAACGTGAGTCAGGGCTTCAGGAAACTTCCTGACAGCTCATCCATCAAAAGTCTTTCCCCTCTTGGCTGGGGCAGGCAAAAGCATTTCCTTTGGAGCTCTTATTTCTTGGCTTGACTCTCTCCTTCACCTTTTCCAAGGGAATTGTCCATGTCTCCAACCCCATCTGCAGAGAGCTGGAGAGACAACAGCCAAGCTGTGGGGTGGAAACGTGGCCAGGACCAAGAATGAGCTGGTTGTCGACAACGTTGATTGATTGTATAAAATCAAATAAATTGGCAGACGGATGAGGAGGAGGAAGGGATGCCCACACGCTCACCTCTCCCTCCCATCCCCTCCCTCCTCCCCCCATCCCCCCGAAAAAGTTACTTGTCTGGTTGTTTTGTAACGAAACCAACACAAAGAGAGTCTCTGCCTGGTGTGTGCCCATCCAGCTTCACATCACGGAGAGGCTCAGCACAGCAAGAGCAAGGAGAAGCCACATCTGCAGTGGAGAGGCTGCCCAGCGGGAAGGAGCTGCTGGGCTGGAGGTCCCTGATGACAGACGAGTGGAGCCTCGCAGGAGCCTCTCCTCTCCGGCCACCTGCAAGAGAAAGGAGGCAGCATGGGGTGAGTGGTGTGGTTGTTCCCCACCTTGGTTCCTCTGAGGATTTAGGGATTGGGGATTATATGTGTGTGCATGTGCAGAGGGATCCAGGGCCAGTCTCAACACTCCAGGTCTAGTCTGGAGGTCAGCACGGCTCTGTTGGAGATGGTGGTGAAGGTGATGGTAGCGCTGCAGCATATAGCAGGATCACCTCATGGGTACAGCACTGGGTATTCAGCCCACTGCTTTAGACACTGGTTGGAGGGCTCTTTGTGTGAGGTGGGTGCCTGGATAGCCACTCCAGTCATTGGAGACCCATGCAGCCCATGGAGCTGGGGCTGGCCAGTGGCTTGACCCAGTAGCCTCTTCAGGTGGAGGTGTCTCTGGGGTATTGAAGACATCTCCATGGGGCTGGCAGACATTTCACCAAACAGCAAATAGCATCCAGGTGGATTACTCCAAAATACAGCGCATGTGTTGATGCAACTGACTCCCACCCTGGGTGCCTACACCCAGCAGACAAATGGCACCCTTCTCCTTTTACAGCGCATTGACATCAGTGGCTGAAAATTTGCTTTACTAGAGACTTGTATTTGCATTAGTTGATAACTGAGATAATTTAGAGCCAAGGCTCTGCACTGCAATGAAGATGGGAAGCAGATGGACTAATCGGTCCATTGTAGCTTTCCTTCTCAGGTCCAGGGGCACCAACCTCATTAAACATTGAATAGGGTCAGGATTTGGAGTTGAGTCCAAAATCAAGACCCAACTCCCCGGTCTCTCTTGCGATGTCAGCAGGGACCGTGCTCCAGTAGCACTCACACCTCAGCAGACGGATGTGTTGCTGTCACGTGGAGGTTGGCGATGTGGTAGGGCCATCCCTTACTGCAGTTGCTTTCTCCAGCTTCCCACTTGCTGGTGGCAGCAGCAGTTGGCTATCTGGGCTGGACTGTCAGTGATAAGGGAGAGTCACAGCTTCTCCATCACTTCCAGGATAAAGTTCTCAGTGCAAGGTCTGGACCTCAGACCACCGCTTGGATTGCACTAAGGTCTGGGGAGCACCAGCGAGAAGCAAATCCTCCAAATCTCCTGGGTAAAAAGTTTATGGCCTGATGAAAGCGTGTCCGTGCTGTGCATGGCCACCAATTCCCTGAAAAGCAGCGAGGGAAGCTGAAGCCACATTTCTGCAGCTCCCAGCCCACTTTTCTATGAAAACAGAGTGCAGGGAGGTGAAATGGGTGTTTTCCCAGCAAAAGAAACAAAGAAGAGGCTTAAAAAAACCCCCGTGTGTGGAAGCTCTCTGAAACTATCAGTTAGCCCAGTGCAAAGCCCACGCTCAGTCCTTGGAGTCTAGTTAACTGACAGCTTCTCTTACCTGAACGTTCAGCAAATCAGGGTCACTGTTAATTATTCAACAGTAAAATAACTCAATCTGAAAATTACTCTGGTGGGTGGCAAATCAAGGTCATTGCTTTTTATTTAAAATAAAATATTTAATGCCTACCACTGCCATCATCAGTAAATTAATCTGTTATTTGTTTTAAAATAATTTAAATTTGATATTACTTTGATACTAACATGACTAGAACCTTTCAGATGAAATTTTCCAATGCTTAGCAAACCTTAGTCAGTTAAGCCTCAATGTTATGACCTCCAGGATCCTCACCTAACCAGGGAGGGAGCTGTGTCCCAGCAGCTGAAATGCTTGTCTGAAACTGTGCAGCTGCCCTGCAGGAGGGTGAGGAGCCAAACCAGTGGCCCTGGCTCCCCTTCTACACTCCTGAAAAGCCCATGGATGCTACCAGTACTTCTAAAAAAACCCCGTATCTCTCTGTAGCATCCATGAAAGAAAAGAGATGGTGACCAACATGCAGGAAAGCAGAGTCAGGGATAGGAGCATGTAGCCCTGTACTTGATGTTGGAGAAGAATACATCAGGGCATGAAGAAGAGGGTGAATCAGGGACTCCAGGAGGTGGAGGGGAGGTTGGATGTCTGCATGTAGCTGAAATAACACAGATGGAAGAGGCACCTGAGGTGAGGAGTGCTGGAGAACATGGAGGAGGTATAGACACAGCCAAGTATCTCTTAAGGCCAGGTCAGCCCTCTCCTACCTTGGTGGGCTGGAGATGCTCAAAGATGTTCTCTCTGAGGGTTGCCACGGCTCTGTTGGCATTTTGCTCCTGTTTGTACATCTGTGTGGTGGGAGGGATAGATGGGGCCACAGCTGCATTCAGGTAGGTCCCATTGCCAAAGGCCAGAATGGCATTTTCTTTGTGTGGGAAAGAGATGGAGAAAACTGTTGTCAGGGCAATGCTTCTGAGGGAAAGCACACGCATCCCTTCTCCAGCCTTCTTTGCACCACCCAAATGCATGCCCAAGGGTCTTCAGAGTTCCGTTGCTACAAGCACAGGAATCTGGACACCCACAGACTCTTGAGGACCAGGGCATCGTCATACCCTCATTCACAAGAATCGCTTGCGGGCGATGCTGCCGGAGCAGCAACATGCTGGGTGATACTTACGGAGACAGATATTGTCGGTGAAGAGATGCAGAAAGCTCTCACACTCTTCCTGCCGGTTGCCACTGGCGTTGCACGTGCACCAGGGAGCTATGTTGGAAGTTGAGTTGTCAATGTAGTTGGGTGTGATGGGGCTGCCTACCAGGAAGGATGGAGAAATGTTACCACAAGGCTGGTACTTCAAGAAGGGTCAATGATTTCCCTCCTTGCTGCTTTCTTGGGTTGCTCTGCTTACAGCCTCGGCTGAGCCCCACCGTGATGGCAGCACGAGAAAACCCTTCAAGTGCTGGTGTCACAGGTCTGTTTTGCTCCCGGGGAGGAGAAGAGAGGCAGTCACAACCCTTTTGTTCACCCCACCGCCAAGAAAGCCCTCAGTCAATTAAAACGTGCTGTCAGTCAAAGGAATGGGCAGCTCCTGGGAACTCTGGTCCCCTAATAACATTCAAAAACTGTATGGGAATGTGCTTAAATGTTTCCACGCTCTCATTGAAAAAGCCAAACTCAATCTCCAGAATGCTCAGAGGCAACAAGGAAGGATTAAACCAGAATGAAATCTTGACCCAAAAAGCTGTCATCTATCCCATCCGTCAGGATGGACCAAGTCCAATGGCCATTGGCACTTCCCTTTGGACTCTGTGCTTGTGCTAACAGCTGCCAGCTGGGTCTCTGCAGCATGTGAAAACCCAGTCTGACATCCTCTGAAGTCAGCAAGATGGCAGTGGATGGTGATTTTCAGTGGCATCACTGGTGATGGCATCAGGGAACCCCTGACAGAGCAGATGCCCTGGGACAGCCCATCCATTTCCACCTGAAAGAGAAGCTGGGATCTTGCAGCAGCCCATGCTGCGTGGTTTTTCTCCCTCCGCTGCAGCTATCCTAAAGTCACCCCATGCTCATGGCTTAGGGTCCTTCTTCAGTCACTGCAGAGAGAAAACCCATCATCTCCCTGGGGTCTGTCTCAGCTCTCCACCTTACTGTCCTTGTACCTTTGAGCTTGCCAGAGTAAGAGGAGATGTTTCCCACCCAGAGGAGATATTTCCCACCCAGGGGGTGGGAGAGAGACCACCCGAAGGACGCAGCCTCTTACCTATGATCCCTGTGTACGCCAGCATCTGCCCCCCCGCCAGCCGCTCGCAGCCTGCAGGGATGGCTGGCAATTAAACTGGAACTCTGCGTAGCGTGACCTGACGGAGCGAGAGCGCAAAGTGGGACATATTAGCACGGATATTCGGGGCAAAAAGGGACATAATAGCACACTGGTGGTGTTTACAGGAAGGGATATATGTGCAAAATCCGTTGCTGCTCTAAGTGTTTCTAAACCAGTTTGAACAAATGTAGTTTTATACTCTCATGTCCCCGGCAAAAAAAAAAAAAAAGCAGAAGCGGGTTTTATCCCTCCAAGAGGAGTCATGAATAGGTGCTGAGGGTAACGTTTTACAGGTTTCCTCTGGGACTGCAAGAAAGGTCCAGTCTTGGGAGGAGTGTTTGTTTTCTGATGTGTGAAGCTGGTTTTCAAGCAAAGAGCTGTTGCAGACAGCGAGGGAATTCATTCTCTGTTGCCATTACGTGACTCTTGGGTAATAACTTCTCCTAGAGACCTAAGCCTTCATTTTGGGGCTGATTTGCTGGAAGAGAGAAACACTCTGGTCCATTTTCTCTCCCTACAAAGATTATGCTCTAAATGTAGCCGAGGTCATGTTCAAATTAAGGGAAATGCCCAAAGGCTCAGATATGAAGTGCTCTACTCATCATCAGGGCTGCTGCCACATGCTCTGCTGCATGCACCCATTCTCAGGAGAAGGTTGGAGTCTCTGGAGGCTGTAGAGCAAGAGGTGTAAGATATACAGCTCTGACCACAGACCCTTGTGTCTCGATTTTCACAGTGTCTAGGTCAAAGCACCAAACCACTTAGCACAAAGCAGCTTTGAGTCACACATTGGGCTTGTTGGGACTGTCTGGGCCATGCCGGGAAGTTGGTTCATCATTCAGACAGATTGCTGGATTGCTCTTTGCATGCAGCTCCCCTGCTAGCTTGGTTGGATAAACTCTGTAAATCATACTGCCAACTAGATATTTGCCGCCTAATTCTTTAGAGATGAGTCAGTTGTTGGCACATAGGCATTAGTGGCGTGTGGACATTGTAGGATATCTAAGACATCCACATGGGGCTTTCAGGTAGGACATAGGACCTACTGGAGATTCAGATCCATCTAAACAGGCATCCCGTGGCCAGGTAAGAAGGCATCTCACATGGCATTTGAGATGTTTCGGAAATTCAAGCAAGTGCTAGCACTGCTGACACTTGAAGGCAGGGCCCTTTAGATGACAACCTGCAGTGTCTGAACTGTGAACTGGGTACCTCAAATGTTTGCTCTGCCTGGGCAATCTCAGAAAAACTGAGCAGGTTGCTCCTCCCAGACAGCCTCTCTCTTCCAGACATTTTGTCAATGCTCCTGGTCAGTGTCAGCACTCTGACATGCGCTTTCCTGCCCACTTCTTTCCTCCTTCCCAGTCTTCTCTTTTTATTCCTCGTCTTTGTTCCCATGTTTGCCTCATACCAACCCCTTTCTCTGGTGCCATGGCCAGGCAAACCCTTCTTGCCCAAATTTTTGCTGAATTATTTTGGGAAGGGAGGTACTGTTTGCAGGTTTTGTATCATTCATGTTAGTAGAGCCCACCCCTGCAAGACAGAAAATTCAAGGGGTTACAGCTGTGAAGAAGCTGCAGAAGAACTAAATGGTGAAGGTAGGGTTAGCCCTGGCATATTTTATTCTATTTATTTAAAATGCCATGATTTGCTCCTGGCTTTCCTTGTGGTTTCTGCAGTGCTAGCTTTGACCAGGTCACATGTCAACCCCTTGCTCCTGCTGTGTCTCCAGAGGGTGTTTTATATTATATATTCAGAGACCAAGGAACCAGATAATTAACAGCTGTGCTGCTTGCAGGATACCATTTCCAGCCTCCTGGGAAGCAACACTCTCCCCTTTGAACCTCTTCTTCCCCGCTGGGCCCACTTGTCTTGTTAGGGAGAGGGCAGGACCCATCTGTTTTGGATTCCCTGGGTAGCCAGGAAAAATCTGAGCAAGAGCTGGTGTGGCTCAGGGGGTCTGCATCTTTCAGAGTCAGCTTTGGATGTATAGCTCAGTTGTTCTCCTTCATCCACGCTTCTGGGGTGCAGAGGGGTGGGGGTATTAGTACCAGTCCATCCTTCCAAGAGGATGCTGCTGCTCTCACCTCCCTTTGTGAACAGACATCATTTTTTATTGTCATTTAATTATGACGTGCTGGTAGGGGATGGCTCCTGGAAGTTCAGCTCAGGAAGTCCCAAAGCCCACAATAATGAGAGACTGGGACAATACAGGGAGATGTGTCCTACACTTGCTCTTGCACTCTTCTCCAGGAATCTGCTCATGGCCACAGCTGCACACAGGACAAAAGGCTGGGACCACCAGGCTTGGTGCAATACGGCTGCTGTAGTGGTCTTACATCTCTTACTGACAGATGGGCTCCACTCCTGACAGTTGTGTGTGGATTAACTTTCTGGAATATCAAAGATTTTTTGAGAAATAGAGGGATGAAAATAGGACAGCTGAGGGAAAAACACTTAAGGGGTGTGCCTCTGAGTGTGCACATTGGGATGGGTCTCTGCAGTGTGCATGCATGGGGCTCAAATGGAAACAGAGGAGCAAACCACCCTGGCCACATACTACACGGTGGATCTGGAGTGAGAAATGTGACTCTGAGACTCTTATTCCAATCACTAGAACATCCAGCCTTGCAGCAGAAGAGTATATTTTTTAATATATAAGATTAATTTTTATAATAAAAAAACCCAAAAGAAGCCATGGTTTTAAGGTATCTACAAGCGCCTGTGACTGTTAGGATAGCTTGGGTGTGAGACAGA